GACTCATAGCAACTCTGTATAGGGTTTCTGAGGAGCAGCTGGTAGGTTTGAATGACTGACCTTGTGGTTCAGTGCTTATCATACAACACCACACCACCAGGACTCTCTCTCTGTCTCTGTCTGTCTCTGTCTCTCTGTCTGTCTCTCTCTCTCTATATATATATATCTATATACATACATAAGACCTCTTTAAATTATTCAAGAATAAAGATGTGAGTTTGAGGACTAAGGTGTGCCTGACCCATTACATGATATTTTCAATCTCCTCATGTGCATGTGAAAGTTGAACAGTGAAGAAGTAGAATCATAGAAGAATTGATTAATTTAAGTTGTGGTGTTGGAGAAAAATATTGAAAATATCATGGACTGCCAGATGAACAAAACAATCTGTATTGGAAGAAGTACAGCCAGAATGCTCCTTAGAAGCCAGGAGGGTGAGACTTGGTCTCTCATACTTTGGACATATTATCAGAAGGGACCAGTTATTGGAGAAATACATCATGCTTGGTAACATGGAGGGTCAGTAAAAAAGAGGAAGACCCCCAAGAAGATGGATTGTCAGCAACAATGGGCTCAAGTATAACAACAATTGTGAGGATGGCACAGGTTGGCAGTGCTTCGTTTTGTTCATAGAGTCACTGAGTCAGAATTGACTCAAGGGCACCTAAGTACAACAGCATATGACCAATATTAACTGAAAATGCCTAAGGACTGTTGTTGTTGTTAAGTGCTGTCAAGACAGTTTTGACTCATAGCAACCCTCCATAGGGTTTCTGAGTAGCAGCTGGTAAATTTGAACTTACGGTTCAAACAGACCTTGCAGTCCAGCGCATTATCCCACAGTTCCACACCAGGACTCTTACAGACTATTTACTCTAACCGTTTGGTATTTTTTCATTACTTTTATAACCCTTCATAAGCCTAAACAAAAATCTAAATGTAAGATGTTCATAATATACACTTTGCAAGTATCCTGTATGTATTACATTTGCAGAATATTTGACTTCATTTCTAATTCTACATTATTTGAAAAAGGACACCCTAAGAATTCATATTTTTGGCAATATCTAAAATATTTTCAAATTTCATATGCATTATAAATAATTTTTGTTGTTGTTAGGTGCTGTTGAGTCAGTTCCCACTTATAGTGACCCTGTGTAGGGTTTCCGAACAACAGCTGGTGAGCCTGAACCATTGCCCTTGTGGTTCAAACTGACCTTGG